TTATTATTATCATTATTATTTTATTATCATTTCTGACATGTCAACATTATCTGAGTAGTTAGAAGTTCAGTAGTTTAAAGCAATGTTTTTTTATAGTTTTTTTTCTGGTTTATAAAAGTAATTTTACCATGGTGATAAATGAAAAAGCGACAGCAAATTGAAACACCTGCAATCTCAAAGACTGTGAAGAAAGAAATTTTACTCTTTGTATATCACAATTAGCTTACTAAATAGTCAATCTTAAATAAACCCACTGTTATCCACTAACCGCTGAACTGAAAACAACTCAGTCTTCCGGCACATGAAGTCAGTTTTTTTTTAAAAAGAAAAAAGATTTGAACAAACAAAAAAACTAACACTCAACTACCGTTATTATGCTAATTAAAAATCCCCGCGCAGACTGTAATAAAGTACTAATGATTATACATGTATTATAGAAAACACATCTTTATGTATGTTGCCTAATGCACAAACATCGAGATTTTTGGGGGTTTTTGTTTTTGTTTTTGGGAATTTTAGAAGCACATTATACATATATACAAAAAAATCAAGGCAATTCGCCGCCTAGTGTCGGTATAATGAAGTCGTCAAATTGTCCATTTGGTGTTGTCCAGACTATGAATCTTTCATTTTTTAATGCGGTTAGCATTATGTGTCCCGTTACTTGAATCGAGTAATGTTTTAGTTTATAGAGTAACTGAATTACCTTGCGCATATCAAACGCCATGATTCACCCGAGAAGTATATTGCAATGTAATATTCTGACACCAAAGGAGGAGATCTGACTGATGATGGGAGCGTGACACAGAAACCTGGCTTGGAGCCAAAACATCTCGGGTAGACAGAGCGGCAAGAGACAGTGTTTCATTTCAGAAAAACCCAAGGAGCCACGTCGAACCACTGTAAAGACTAAGAAGAAGGAGAAAGTTTTTGAGCCAACGACGCTGCCTCGTGCCTGGCACATAGTGCCCTCGGATGACCCGCTCTCTCTGGGGGTACTCATTGTCAGGCCTTCGGCCAGCTTGGTTTCTTCAGTAAAATTTTTATAAAGCAGGTTGCCTGTGACAGGTTCCTGACATACGGCTCTTAGGACC